CGGTTACCAGAAGCTGAAATGTATGATAGTCCACTTTTTGCTAGGTGGATTTGTGTGTGTGTGTGTGTGTGTGTGTGTGTGTGTGTGTGTGTGTGTGTGTGTGTGTGTGTGTCCCACCCTAAAGTATATTTCTTAACACACATGTACACACATTGTTTGTTAAAAAACTTGACATTGACCAGACTTCTTTCTGCGGATTGATATGACGTCACATAGTCCCCTTGATCATCCTTAGCAACAGTTTGATAGCCAAAAATAGCAGACCTCTGGAATGTCCAAATTGACCTATCAGAATCAATTATTCAACTACTTTAAGCCATGTAATAAATACATATAAAGTATGTATGCGGCCAATTTAGCTGTCAGATAAGTGCAATGCAGTAAAAGGTACTATATTGGCTTCTAAATATAGCAGAGGTGGGAAGTAGAGTACATATACTTTGTTACTATTTACTCCACTTGACAACCTTTTACTTTGACTTCTTACATGTTGAACACAAATACCTGTACTTTCTACTTCTTACATGTTGAACACAAATACCTGTACTTTCTACTTCTTACATGTTGAACACAAATACCTGTACTTTCTACTTCTTACATGTTGAACACAAATACCTGTACTTTCTACTTCTCTCATTTTCCAAACAGGCTGGTTCCTTTAGTCTGAATGTGTGTTTGGTGGCGTGATCATTATTATTTAGAGTCATTGCGTGCCTATTGATTTGAACACGATCCGTGTATCCATCATTTCCTGGTCTTCTCTAAAGAAGAGGGACCAATGAAAACGTTGTCATGTTGCCGTTGTTCAGCATGGAAACATTCATTAGCTAACAATGACATTATTGTTCTATTAATATAAAGGGAGGTCAGGTACTCTTTAAAACAGCTGCTAGTTATGGGTACTTTTTACTGAAGTACATTTCAAAGCCTCTTTACTTTGACTTGAGTAAAGAAGTTTACTCAGTACTTCTACTTTCACCAGAGTATTTTTAAACACGAGTATCTGCACTTCTACTTGAGGAAAGGATGTGTGTACTCTTGCCATCTCTGCTGCTTGGACCAATACAAATGAAAGTAGAATTATGTGACCCACCTGTCCTGCTCAGAGGGGTTTTTGGACACCAGGAGCACCGTGATGAGAGTGAAGGCGATGATCCAAACCCCCGCACATAGAAACCAGCTCCCCCTGGTGGACCGCAGCTGGTACTGCACCCCTGTCCCTCTGTGGATCTTCAGGTACCGATCCACGCTGATCAGACCTAGCAAAGTGACGCTTATATACATGTTCATATAGAAGAAATTCCCTACAACTTTACACAGCGTGGGTCCAAGCGTCCACTCGTTCCCTCGGCTGTGATAAAAGATTCTGAACGGCAAACACACAACCAGCAACAGATCAGCGAACGCAACGTTTATGAGGAACACCCGCACAGAGTTCTTCTTGGAGCCAACGGAGAAGAAGACCCATAAAGCCACGAGGTTCCCAACGAGTCCCAGGATGAAGATTATAGAGTAGAGAACCGCCAAAGGGCTCTGAAGCGCCTTCGGATCCACACAGGACTCGTTGTTGGGATTTAGGGAACCGCTGGGAGTCTGGGAAGAGATGTTTGTGGTCATGGTGGCTTCTGTGATGGTCGTTCCTAGAACATATAGAAACAGAAATGTTTTATTGTGGGGGATATTTACAGAGTTACAGCAACAAAGGGACAGTGCAGCTAAAATTAGACATTTAAGTACATTTTATTGTGTTGAAACTTTTATACTAAGCCACTTAAAGTGAGTGCAATAAACCACGAAGATCAAACTCGGACAACTTAATCCCGCAAGTACATTTGCTTCAAAGCCATATTACTTTTAAGTGCTGGTTTATTAGTCTCAATTTACCTACATATCGTAAAGTACTACACGTTTGGTCTATTAAGTCTGATAGCCGAGAGAAAAACATGTGCAATACTTTATTTGAGGTTTTGGGTTTTGTAACAGTTGCTCAATACAAAAATAATATACTAATAATAAAATAAAATGAGTTAAATCATTTGAATTAAATTATATTGAAATATAATAATAATTCTAATATATATTTCTAAAATAATAATACAATTATCATGAAATATTATAAAAGTATTACTTTAATTATATTATTATTAATACATTATTTACTATGATTATTAGGTTAAATAAAAATCGTGATAATGCATTATTTTAATTATTATTATTATTATTATAGTAGAAATAAAAGAGGCTTTACAAGCAAATAAAGAAAATAATAACCGCATACATTTAGAAAGTCCTGAGCCAAGTGGAGGAAGTAGGAGAAGACGGGTAGAGGATATAACAGAAAAATACTACATACACAGTTATGTTTCAAATAAGTAAGAGTTATAAGAGTTAAAATGGAAAAGAAAGATTCAAATATTGATTTAAAGTGCAGAAAACAACATGAAGCAAAGTCCCAATACATTTTAAAATAAAATAAAGACTACGTAGATCAAAACACCCGGCAAGGAAATGGATTATTACACATTCAATAAACGTAAACCCATCAATTCTAAAAGGACTTTAAAGCCATCTAAGGTGTATAGGCTGCCATAAAGACAGCATTTAGTTTTTCTGTATAGACTAGCCATCACAGAAAGCTTGTACAAAAAAACCATCATTGATAACTCTATATCTTTGCATGTGATGTTATCTTGGAGTTATGTCAAACAGATGAGTTTGCATGAATTTTGCAAACTCATTGAATTTTTTTTATTTTTTCTGCAGAATCATTCCATCAGAAACAGAAATGCAACCCACAGCAGGAAGCTCTTATCTGGCAGCCCGAGCAACCAGATAAAAACATGTTGCTGATGTGTAAAAGGCCTACTCACCTAATCATTGAAGTCCATTAAAAAAGTTCTTTCTTCTTGCACTTCTTCCCGTCGTTCACTCCAGTTTACCCCCTTGAGCTTAATCCATCTGAAGAACTCTCCAACATGTCCTCGTAAAGTTCACGATGCTTCCCGTCTGTCATCGTGTGCAGAACTCTGTGTTTCATCCACCGATTATATCTCCTTTTGTTTCCTCTCTGTGAGCAAACCTCCCCCGCAGCGCCGAGGACAGAAATACCAACAGTTTCTGAAATGCAACGTGTGGTTTGTGTATAGAGGAAAGTTAAAGCTGTGGTCAGCCCGCCTCTTTCTGCCGAATTCAGATTGAGACAGAAAGACAGGGAGGGGTTTGAGCAGATTACAGAGCATCCATCTAAGAACACAATCAGTGGTGGGAAGGAGAATATCTACCTCACAGCAGCGTTCAGTTATCATGCTCCACATATGCTGCAACTCTGACTACACTGAAATCCAGGCTGAAGACTTCTCTGTTTGCCGCTGCTTTTAATTGAACTATTCACATCTCACACTGCACTGTAACTTCTATTCATGTTCCTTTTGTTATTCATGTTTTATGATCTTTGCTTGTTAGTGTTTTTAAATGCCATTTTATAATATGTTAATAATATAATAATAACATAATAGGAGTTTAAAGAGAGACTTGGTTTTTGGTTAAAGAGGCCCTATTGTCCTCTCCTGTTGTGTGTCATATAGGTCTTAGTTCCTGTAAGTGGTCTTCAAAAGCTAAAATCCCTGTTTTCCCTCGAGGGGGGAGTTTGTGGACTCCTTTGTTTACTTCCTGAACAAAGTGACATCACTACAAAACACTCACACTCCTATTGGCTAGCGCTCCAACACATTATACGTGATAGGCTAAGGGGCGGGACATCTCTGAGCGGTTCTCCAATCACAACAGAGCCGGCCAGCTAACCAATCCGAGCAGACTGGGCTCTGGTTTCAGACAGAGGGTGAAAAGAGGTGCTGCAGCACAGAGAACAATAAAGAGCTTTTTGAACCTTAAAGCGTGAAGACATGTCAATTGTCGATCTGTAGACAGAAATAATATTGATCAAAATGGCTTCTTTAATTTTGTGCAAAAGAAAGGAAAAGTAACGGTTGAGTTGCTTCACCCAGGGCTGTAGTTATTAAACCATCCCTTCAGTACAAATGTGACATTGTGGGATTTTTTTTCCACCCTAGAAGCGTGTTCTGCTTAAATTTAATTTGCAAGTGGTTTCCTTTTTCCTCAAGGAATCCCTGTATTTCTTCCAGTTTCTGTCATGTAGATAAAACATCTTGTTCAGAAGCAAATCTTGTATGAAATCAGCAAAATATATCTAAAACCAACTGAAGATCTGAATGTGAATCTGTCCTCTGTGATCCTCCTCCTGTGTGTGAGGTCGTGGTTCTGGTGGTTTTTGGGAGTGTCTTTCACATGTGTGTTTGTTCCTGTTATTTATAGGAGGGTGTCTCTCTAATCAGGACTAACAAGCTTTAAATCTCTCTCTCTCTCTCTCTCTCTCTCTCTCTCTGGTTCTGGTTCTCAGCCTCACTGCGTGCTGCTCGCCTCCAAAGAGAACTCAGCTCCGGTGAAACTCGGAGGATTCGGAGTCGCCATCCAGCTGGGAGAGTCTGGGCTGGTGGCCGGAGGTACAGGACACACACCTGCACACACACATCTGTACACACACCTGCACACACACACCTGCACACACACATCTGTACACACACCTGCACACACACATCTGTACCCACACCTGCACACACACCTGCACACACACATCTGTACACACACATCTGCACACACACCTGTACACACACATCTGCACACACATCTGCAAACACATCTGTACACACATCTGCCCACACACACCTGTAAACACATCTGCACACACACCTCCAAACACATCTGCACACACACCTGCACACACACCTGCAAACACATCTGTACACACACCTGCACACACACATCTGTACACACACCTGCAAACACATCTGCACACACACATCTGCACACACACCTGCACACACACCTGCACACACACACATCTGTACACACACATCTGCACACACACCTGCACACACACATCTGTACACACACATCTGCACACACACCTTCAAACACATCTGCACACACATCTGTACACACATCTGCAAACATACATTAATTGTGTTTATATATAATATACATTTTTCTTATTACATTTTTGTTTTTGACTGTTTCATTAACCAGGGAAAGTGTACTTTGATAAGAGTTAGCCAATATAACATTTGTTAACTCTAGTCCATTGAACAATGTTTAAGAATCACGCAAAAAACTAAAATAAACATTAATTAAAATCTTAGAGGCTCAAAATACAGAACATACATGCCCACAATAAAGGACATGAAAAAGTACATTCTCTACAAAATGTAAGACATAGTCAGCGAGTCGTGGGAGTGTTTGATTCTGTAGCATTGACCTATGAGGAGTTTCTGACTTAAGGGGTGACTTCCAGTATTTCTCTGCAGAACCAGCACTTCTGGGCCTTTTCTGTATGACTCACCTTGTGCTATCCCATAAAGCAGCTAACAGCACTCTCTCTGGCCAAAAGACCTGACATTTGTTCATTAAACAATTAAAATAGAGGCGTGAGAAAAAGCTCAGTTTGAGTGTGTAAAAGTCCCAGTGTTGGTTAGGCCTCATAAACACATTGCTGTTTTTATTGACCAATCAAATGAAAGTACAGACTCCAAAAAGTGTAGCAATCAAAACGTTTTGAACGGAGTTAGGAGAGAAACAAGTCAAATAAATACCTTCATATATATGTGTGTATTCCTTCGAGACATCTACAGCTGCGGTGATTAATTTAAACTAAAATAGGTAACTTTGAGGTCTCAGCAACACAGATGCACTTCCCTTTGCATATTAAAAACCAGAACATGACATTTAAGATGTAAACGTTGATGTGAATCACGTTATGAAGGAGAAGGAAATCCACCTTTTAGGTCTGTTCCGCTCTGGTTTTTAACAATGCATTCATAAAAAGGGAACAGATATTGTCCAAGTGCAGCAAAAACACTTCCTGATTCTCCAACTCCAGCCCTTTTAACCTTATTTATCAAACACCTTTCATATAAAAATGCAGCCCAAAATGCTTCACATAAAGACTTAAAGATGCATTAATAATATGTTTGGAGAAAGAGCAACATTAAGAAGACGTTTGGAAGAGTTAAATCTGCACTAAAATGTCAATAAATACACTAAAGATAAGAAATAATACTGTCACTGGACCGATACACGAAAACATTCCTGCAATAACTCTATACAACACATCTTAAACTCACACTGTACATTTTACATTGATGTTCAATTTAATATTAAATATTCCACTCCTTACAAACTTAATGTATTTATAATACCCTGCTTTATATTTTGTTATATTTCAACATGTATATTGATTTTTTTAATGCTATTTTATTTCTATTTGAGATCTTTTCATTTCTCTTATGTGCAATGTCATGTATGTTCATGCTGCTGCAACGCAAACATTTCCCAAATTGGGATCAATAAAGTACTTCTTATCTTGTCTTAATATTATTTTAAATTCAATGGAAATAAATCTAGTTAAGGGACTATAAAAATGAAACATTTGCAGCAATGTGTGTTTCACTTGTCTGTGGATACTTATAGATGAGTACACTAGAAAGAGCTCTGAAAGAATATAATACGTTTATTGTACGGTTACATGCCGCGTTACAGAAGCACGTTGCC